AACCTGCAGCGCGTCAAGCAGAAGCTGGAGAAGGAGAAGAGCGAGCTCAAGATGGAGATTGATGACTTGGCCAGTAACATGGAGTCTGTCTCCAAAGCCAAGGTATGGAATTGCAGTAGAACATGCTCGCAGGGCCAAGGTGTGGCACAAAGGCTGCATCTACCAGTCACATTCCCACAGACAATATCCCTGCTGTGAGAATGAGGCAGAGTGCAGGCGTTCATCTCCTTCCCTTCCCTGTGTTTGCTCCCTAGGCAAACCTGGAGAAGATGTGTCGCACACTGGAAGATCAGCTGAGTGAGTTAAAAACGAAGGAGGAGCAGAATCAGCGCATGATCAATGACCTCAATACTCAAAGAGCTCGTCTGCAGACAGAGTCAGGTGAGACATCCTCATTCCTCAAGTGCAGTGGGAGGACCCGCACGCCATGAGCACACCTTTGGGTGCAACGTGACAACTGGTATAACCTCTCAGGCCACTTCTGGTTACATGGCTTTACAGGCAGAAAGGGTCATAGGATTAATAGTCTGGTTCCCTTTTTTCCCTTTACCCTTCCCAGGTGAATATTCCCGCCAGGTGGAGGAAAAAGATGCTCTGATTTCTCAGCTGTCTAGGGGCAAGCAAGGATTTACCCAACAGATTGAGGAACTCAAGAGGCATCTAGAGGAAGAAATCAAGGTATGGAAGCACCCTAGTGTCCACAGCCTGGATCACCCCTGGATATAGGATCTGGAGAATCCTATAGTCTGACCCAAGACAGGTTCCATGTTCTTTCCCCAAACACCTGTAGGACTGGAGGGAACACCAATAGTACACAAACTTCTACTCGTGAGCTGGAGAGGGAAGGATGTGTGATGCTTTAGATGCTGGAGGAAGGCCTCCACAAGGCTTTCTTGCCATTCTGATGATCCTCTCTAAGACAGGATTCAGCCACACATGTCAAAACATTTACACAAACAGCTGATTACTGTCCCCAGAGCACCTGTCACTAACATGTCCTGATCCTCCAGACACATCAGTAAGGGCTCCATCAGATGCCAGCTCTCTATTTGCCTAATTAGAGGTTCATTCTAATTTCACTGCCAATTTCGGTGTCAAGCAGCATCTCAAGATAAGTGTTGGAGTTACCCACCCCCATGTCCCCACAGGCCAAGAACGCCCTGGCCCACGCCCTGCAGTCCGCTCGCCACGACTGTGACTTGCTCCGGGAACAATATGAGGAGGAGCAGGAAGCCAAGGGGGAGCTGCAGCGCGCCCTGTCCAAGGCCAACAGNGCTGCAGAATGAAGTGGAGGACCTGATGATTGATGTGGAGCGATCCAATGCTGCCTGCGCTGCTCTGGACAAGAAGCAGAAGAACTTTGACAAGGTCTTTTGGGCTCCAGCCCTGGGACTCCTGGGCAGAGCCTCCCCCCGGGATGGCCACATCCCTACTCACGCCCCGTTTCCCTTCAGATCCTGGCAGAATGGAAGCAGAAGTATGAGGAAACGCAGGCTGAGCTGGAGGCCTCCCAGAAGGAGTCTCGCTCCCTCAGCACGGAGCTGTTTAAGATGAAGAATGCCTATGAGGAGTCCTTGGACCACCTGGAAACAATGAAGCGGGAGAACAAGAACTTGCAGCGTAAGTCCCTGGCCCTCTGCTCCGGGATGGGCTTTCTCACCAGCTGAGCATTGCTGCGGGGTCTGTGCCTGCAGCTCTGCAAAGATGCCTGTCACCCTGGTGGGACAGGGCCCTTCCCATTCTGCTCTGGGCCTGAGCAAGCCATTGGTCTTTGTTCCCACAGAGGAGATTTCCGACCTCACGGAGCAGATTGCGGAGGGAGGAAAGGCAATTCATGAGCTGGAGAAAGTCAAGAAGCAAGTTGAGCAGGAGAAATCTGAACTGCAAGCCTCCCTGGAGGAAGCTGAGGTACATACACTACTAAAAATTACTGTAAATGTTTTGGAGATGTGGCAGAAAAGGAAGCCTAGGTTTCATTAAGACCCCCGTTAAAGATTGCTTAGAAAGTAAGTGGTTGTCTAAGTCACTGTTCCTGATGCATATCCAGGCCTCTCTGGAACACGAAGAGGGGAAGATCCTGCGCCTGCAGCTGGAGCTCAACCAGGTGAAGTCTGAGATTGACAGGAAGATAGCAGAGAAAGATGAGGAGATTGACCAGCTGAAGAGGAACCACCTCCGAGTTGTAGACTCCATGCAAAGCACCCTGGATGCTGAGATCAGGAGCAGGAATGAAGCCCTGAGGCTGAAGAAGAAGATGGAGGGAGACCTGAATGAAATGGAGATCCAGCTCAGCCATGCCAACCGCCAGGCTGCCGAGGCACAAAAGAACCTGAGAAACACGCAGGCTGTGCTCAAGGTCTGTTTAGCAAAACTACAGATAGAGAGACCCCTGATATTTTTGGCACTCAAGCACACACTGATGCCTTGTAATTCCTCTTGTCTCTCTTACAGGACACCCAGCTACACTTGGACGATGCTCTCAGGACCCAGGATGACCTGAAGGAGCAGGTGGCCATGGTGGAGCGCAGAGCAAACCTGCTGCAGGCTGAAGTTGAGGAGCTACGGGCAGCCCTGGAGCAGACGGAGCGGTCGAGGAAACTGGCTGAGCAGGAGCTCCTGGATGCCACTGAACGTGCACAGCTCCTCCACACCCAGGTCAGGCATTGCTGGAAATTAATCCCATCCACAAGGGATAAAAAAGAGGGAGATTGTCCTGCACCTTGTAAGTGATTACTGTGTAAACACTTGATGAAATGTGCAAGTCTCTTGCATTAAAAATTTTCCTAAACTCTACTTGCACTTTCAGGCCTTGGTGTGCAGGCATTTGGACTGACAGCACCATTCCTGTCTTTCCTGTTGCACAGAACACCAGCTTGATCAACACCAAGAAGAAGCTGGAGACAGACATTTCTCAGATTCAGAGCGAAATGGAGGATACGATCCAGGAGGCCCGCAATGCTGAAGAGAAGGCCAAGAAGGCCATCACAGATGTGAGTCGGGGCTCCTTTCATTGCTGATGGTGATGTATTCTCCCCAAAATGTCTCCAGCCCCACAAGGGCTTTGACCTTTTGCTCTGCTCAGGCGGCCATGATGGCAGAAGAACTGAAGAAGGAGCAGGACACCAGTGCCCACCTGGAGAGGATGAAGAAGAACCTGGACCAGACGGTGAAGGATCTGCAGCTTCGTCTGGAAGAGGCCGAGCAGTTGGCCCTGAAGGGAGGCAAGAAGCAAATCCAGAAGCTGGAGGCCAGGGTGAGTAGGGCTGTGTTGGTGCATGAGTGACCCCATCTCTT